AAAAGTTTTCTATCTCAATGTGTCTATTGATTGATGATGATTCACTGGAATACCAGGTAGGTTTCTAAAAATTCTCTTGTATTCTTGATATTGTTTCCTCTGTTTAGTATTTGAACGTTGTTTGTGCCAGTCGAATTGATGTCCGTGGTTTTCTGTACATAGTAATATGAGGGAGTGGATATCATGTCTTTTGAAGAAGACGAAGAGGATGTCCACTTTGGCCAATTTAGTCAGTGTTTTTCGCAGATGTTACAATTTATTTTGTAGATGATGATGATGATGATGTTGGTTTTATCTTCTTTCGTTATATCATTGTTTTTCAAAGTCTGTAGATGGCGTGATACCCTCTCATCATGCAGCAAAAATGGTATTTACCATAAAAATTGCACATTATATATAACCCAGTACGCTTTCTCTTGTGCAAATCGCTGAGGAGGCATAGAATCACAATTAAAAATTTTAGGGTGAAACATCACACAGAAATGACCATGAAAGTAGTCCATAGTGTAACTTCACAAACGTCAGTTGTTAGTTTAAGTAAGTACTTCAAGACCTTCAGTTTGTCTGATCTGTAAGTTCGAGTTCAAATCTACCACCTCTCTCTCTCTCTCTTTCGGATTGTGAGGCCGTTTGTTACTTCCCGGTTGCCCACATCGTGGAAGTTGGTTGCGTGACCGCAGAGCCCAGGGGACAACTGCTTGAGCCAGACCGGTCACACACCGCCTGCTTTTGTGTGTTCTTTGTTGTTTTGTGTGTCTCAGTAGCATATTTATCACTCCTGCCCTGTGACACGGCAGCAGGAAGCGCCGTCGTTGTTAATTCGGGCCACGGCCGATCCGGCATAAAATTTTGTGATTTTGTATTTCTCATGATGTTGGATTGGGTAGCTGCTTTTTGTTTTAACCGCTATCCAAACAACCTGTCTGACATGGTAGGACCTCAAGAGACATAAGTCTCAGCCAGCATAGCTTGAATAGATCATTGCGGTGTTCAAGCCCAACCACTACGTCAAGGTAGCAGTTTTCGATCGGGACCACCTCTATCTACCCAACAACTCAGTTCGAGCAACCAAAGCGGTATCACATAAGAAACCGACCCGATAAATACGACTCGTAACCTGATGTGAGATGAAGCATTTGGATTGGAATCTGGAACTTATAGACTGAAAGAAAGAATGGACATCGTCTGTCTCTACATTGTTTTAAATTTTAAATGAACTAACGGACAGGCAAAGTGTTTGTGTTCTGTCTTCCGAGTTAAGTGTGTGAGGGGGTATACTCAAAAGTATGGATAGTAGATGTAGGGTGATAGGTGTAAGGTGGGTAGGATAATCAATTGATTGAGAAGGTTAGGCTGTGAAACTGCATCGATTGAGATGGCTAGGAATTAAGGTTATGCATGACAAAACATGACCTCGAAAAATACCCATTTATTCATAAGTAAAAACACAGTTTTTTGTTCAGCGAAGAAATTTCTCCATTCAACGACTTCATTTTCAAGCTGTACAGTCGTATTTATATTACAGAAAAAGGTTATTAAGTGGCACTAAATAATTGCTCAGTCAATGTACGTATATATGTGATAAAAGTTATAAGGGGTAGAGTTGAAGTGGATAAATTACAAAAATATTAGAGATTGTTTTATAACAAAAGTGGCAAGTGTTGTCTAAAAATTTCGAAAATTAGGAGTACGATTACGTTAAGAATGAAGATGTGAAGTGGAATGAATTCAAGTGGTAAAATAAAATAAAAACTAGAAAGAACATTGTTATGACCAAGGTAAAGAAAGGGGTTTGACAAAACGCTTTTGAACACATAATTTAGGTTTCTGTTCATGTATAGCTAAAGCTTCGGCTATGCATAAGTGAAGAAAACGTAAACTTTTGGATCGATTCGATTTTGCCCTGTAGATAACTTTGAAAGATGAATCACGTGGGGCTAAATGACCAGACTTTATCTAACAGGTGATCACAAATAGACGGCTTTACAGTTCTACGTTCGCCTTTCATTAACCAAACCGGATAGTGTGTGTTCAGCTACACGTTTTCGGAGATTACGCTTACAGCGTCCAATATAAACAGCTCCATAAGAGCAGGTAAAAGATTAAATGCACATAGATGTGGACAAAAGCGGTAATCTATCCTTGACACATTGTCTAATCATATTTCGGCTGGTAAAAACTAGTTGCAGGTCAGCTGCAGGAAAAGTGGGTTTAACACATTTAGATAAACGATTTTTAATCAATTCTGAAATGGTGTCACCCTTGAATGCAAGACTCATAAACTGTTTTTTTTGTTTTGGTACTGTGACTTGTCTCGGGGCGGATTCTTTCTTGATGTTACCACCTTCAATGAACCTTGTGGGATAACGATTGTTAAGGAGATTTGATTGAAGGTTATCTAGTTCCCTATCGATTGTCTCTGCAGAGCAGATTTTACGAATTCTGGAGCATAAGGAATGAATAAGATTTCTCCTTCTCCCTAGAGGTACCCAACTGTTGAAGTTAGTGTACTGCCCAGTGAATGTTGGCTTTCGGTAAATCGACCTTAACAGCGTTCCATTCTCTCTTTTATCTAGCTTAACATCCAGGAAGTGAAACGAAGAATCCAACTCTTCTCTTTCGTTATAAAACAATCTCTAATATTTTTGTAATTTATCCACTTCAACTCTACCCCTTATAACTTTTATCACATATATACGTACATTGACTGAGCAATTATTTAGTGCCACTTAATAACCTTTTTCTGTAATATAAATACGACTGTACAGCTTGAAAATGAAGTCGTTGAATGGAGAAATTTCTTCGCTGAACAAAAAACTGTGTTTTTACTTATGAAAACATGACCTGACGATGATTCCCAAACTAAGCTGATGAAACAGCTATCTGGCAGTACTCCCTGTGGTTGGTTTTCAATCGTTCCCTAACTGATATCAATCCGTGATCAACTCATAGTCACACAGTAATGCCAGGTGGTGATAGAGGATTGAGTTGGAAAAGAATTGACAGTGATCAAATTAAAAAAATATGGCATCATCAGTCCATGAGAAGACACCTTGAAATATCAGTTCGAGTCAAGTAAGAAAATGTAGACTGTAGAGCTAAGCGGGACTCTTCCTCATGCCATATAACTACTGTGTGCTTCGAACACTTCCAATTATTATGAGGTTTCTATGTACTCCCGCCGTTTTCATTCGCCACATATGTATGCTTTTGGGTTCCGAATGAAACACAGGATTTGAAGCTTGAGCTTTGAAGATGCGCACTAACAGTGACTTTACACAGCTTCACACTAAACCTTCTGTCTTTGACAGATTTACTGGTTGTTGGCGGTGTTTCACAGACATTCGGTCACAGTTCCGGGTTTTCACCGATAACTGAGAGAATTTCAGCATTGAGGAGACTAGACTGTTTGATCAGTTGGTTATTAGTTGAATTCTTATTGTTGTTTTTTTTGACATCCTACTGCATAAATATGATTAAGGCACTCACTCTACTCGAACTCATGCCATCAGTCAGGTTTAGGGCGAGTTGTCATCTGAAATGGTGACGACTAGTGGTGTCCGTCAAGGATGCCCATTATCCCAATTTCTATTCAATTTCATCATAGATATCGTACTAATGGACTTAACCCAACCTCACTTCAGAGACTCACGGATTGACTTGCTACCATCAGGGAATAATCTCGTTGACTTAGAATAGGCAGACGACGTACTCCTCCCTGCTAGGCGAGGACGCTGACAAAATACAGCTGAGTCTTCTGAACACCTTGAGCTTAATCTACGAATGTTTCACATGCGAGCGATTCGCTCGTACTCCTGTCAAATGTAAAATGATGTTACAGGACTGACTAGACTACACTGACTCATTCCTAGCTTAGAAATAGACAGTGAAGTGGTTGGTGGAGCACGTTGACCAATTCACTTATTTGGGAAGTACCGTCAGCTAGTGCTAACGGATTGATCTCTGACGAAATCTCAGATGAGTACGGATACAGAGGGGTAGTTTCGCATACGCCCGCCAGTTTACGCCGTCTCTGTCTTAGTAGGCGTGATATCCGACTGGCTATTGACCAAAGGGCGGCGGGTGTACTGCTCAGGAGTCCGCTCCGTCCTCCTTTATGGCTGGCTGGTTGGCTGTGAGACCTGGCCATTGAAGGTGGAAGACATGAAAAGCCTAGCTGGCTGTCTTTGATCATAGGTGCCTGTCTGGGTTCTATCTCCCGTATGTGTTAAGTGATATAATAAGGTGAGAAATATTGAGGTTAGGCGTCGGTCGAGTGCTGGGTAGGTAAGAGGGGAAATCAATCGACGAGGTTGTGAAATTACATTGACTGAGATGGTTAGGATATGTGTTACGAATGAACGCCTAGTTATCGCCTTCCTCAACTGACAGGCAATGTTAGCTGACATAGGGTCAGGTTGGAAAAGAGCTGGTGGCGCGGTGGTGAAACCAAAACATGGCTTCTTCACCAGTCAATGAAATCTACAACAGTTAGTTTAAGCCAGCCAACCAGTCACGTAGGAAGTTGTAGACTGGCTACCTGACTGGTTGGAGTTCTCGGGACAGTAAAAGCCAATGAAGGCTGGGGAAAATAGCTATTATGTCTCAAAATCGTTCTCAATGGCCGGCTGGGGCAGATGCAACCACTCCTTGTGACTCATACTTTCCAGCGAAACTATATCGTTCTTCGTCCATTATTACTATTCCTTTGTCTCACACCTCTGTTTACTGTCCCTATTATGCATTTCTTCTCTTGCTTTGTGTGCTACATGGAGGGAGTGTGGTGACTTGAACTGGTGCACACATCGGTGCAAAGTTCTATGTCGAAACCAGACAGACAGAAATATGAATACGGGACTTTTAGGATATATATTTACTAGTGTTGAAAAGTTAGTACGCTGGATAGATAATTGGACGACGCGGTGCACATCTGTTTTATAGTATTTACTCATATATAACATATTTTGAAAATAGATTTTCAAAAGTTATACAACACTTACCGAAGTAGTCTGATGGTCGTAATTTACCAACCTCAACTTGTTCACCGGATTCCGATGGTTTCTGTAAGACAGCAGCTGTTCCCTACAAGCATAGAGAAAAAAAACTGGAATTGAGAAGTAAGTATATTGTGAGATTTACACGATAATGAAGTTAACTTTACAGAGAATTCAATTCAGAGAATGATGAATAATCCCGATGTCTGGTCACGAATAATTATCAGAGTCAGACCAGAATGATCCAGTTGTGTGTTCTCTTCTTATTTTTATGATGGGACTTACCCCCCTCCCCCTCCTATCAGAAAACATGCTGACTTTCTCCAATGAATATTTTCTTCTTTTTTTTACCTATGATTAATGACCGAGAGAAGTGGTTCTAAGAAGTTGGCAATCGTTCACTTTCACTTTCGCATAACCGATATCTTTGCGTTAGTGTTTTTCGGTGTGATATCTGTCTGCTTCAGACGACAATGAACTGATCAGAAAAAGCTAAGTAATGGTGTAGTGAAAAGCATCACTAACAGTTCGATATATTGCACCATCTGGTGCAAATCAGTCGGCCAGCCGGCCACAAAGTCAGCCGCCAGCCAGTGTGGAAGAATCCTTCTCTATCATCATCTACCGGGTGCCTCATAAATTGACAAATCATCATCGGAGCATCGAATGCCTCTCCAAACATCGGAGGCTATTGCAATTCGCCTCAAACAACCAGTGCTGTGTGTGTGTGTGTGGAGAAGAAGCAAGTCCAGCTAGTCAGACCCTACTACTGCCCTTACTGGCCTTCTTCAGTGGGTAGAGACTATAAATTCATGAATTTGTAATATTATCTTTCCTAATTTCTCTGCCTGACATTCACTGTGTGTATTGTTATGCTGATGCTATTGAACTGTAATCCGCTATTGGTATTATTATTATTATTGATTCGATGTTATTTAAACAGCAACATGAATGTTGTTGTTCATAACACTAATTCATTCAGTATAATGGATGGATATATAACTGTAGAGCCTGATGATGATGATGATGAAGGGGTTATCGAAAAGAGGATTTATTCTTTGTTCAGTATCTATCCATTCTTTTGAAAACAATTTTAATGGGCATTTTTTAATCAGTTAAAAGCATATTTCTTTCCAGCTAACTCTCTCTCTCTCTCTATCAGTGACCAACAAGCTTCCAACGGTTGGAACTAATTGAATCAAAATAAACGAAGACAGTTTATTATTCCACACTGCTAGGTGAGACTACTTTTGAAACATCTTGTCTGATGTGAAAATCAATTTAACTTGAAGTCTAGTCAACCACAATCTTGTGAGTTGTCGATTTTAATACCATCATCGCCATATACAATGAAGTCTAATGAAGTTTATGTATCTGGGTAGTTGTATGAGTGTTGGCGGAGGGGTGACGTGGCAACTCGAACTGCTGCACTTCGGTGCCAAGTTCTATGTTGAATCCAGACAGACAGACAGGAGGGGTGACGGATGCGATTTCCAACCGGATAATGAAGGCTAGGGTGGCATACATCAACTTGAGCCACCTATGGCGCCGTCGTGACGTTAGCCTGGCTGTCAAAGATCGGGTATACAATACTTCGGTGCGGGCTGTCTTGCTCTACGCCTGTGAAACCTCGCCTCTCCGAGTAGGCTGAGAATGTCCGGCGACTCTGCGTGTTCGATCACCGCTGTCTCTACAAGATTGCTTGGCTTTCAAAGGCTGGCATCATCGCACCAGTAACTCTGAGATTCGTCGGCGTGTGTGTGTTTGAACACAGTGGAGATCACCATTCATTGAGTGTTGTCGTCATCTGGAAACACCAGCTCCGGTGGCTTGGACATGTGCTGAGAATGTCATCCCACAGGATTCCGTACAGGTCTCTGTTCACTAGCCAGCCCTGGGACGGGATAGAAAAGGCGGAGGGGTGGTCAGTCCATGACGATGTGGCGTCGTGGGATGAAGGATATTTGTGCTAGATTACCGTCATCGGTTGGTGCATCACGACTCCCTGGTTGGGGTCCGAGAGATAGCTCGAATCGATGGCTCGAAACGTTATCGGATATGGCAAGGAATCGCAGTCACCAATGACAAACGTGTTGCAATTTCCTTCTTTCTTCCCTTCCCGATGACAGTTGACAAATACTGTTTGAACTTGTTAAGTAGTATGACTGTTTTCCTTCCAGATGAAGTTCTTTATCCGTTCTCTACTAATATATTTTTTTTAACTTTGAATCTATGTTTTATTATTATTATTATTATTGTGTGACGCATCTTTCTTGGTGCCATATTGTACCGAGTGTTTTCTGCGTTTAATTACATAAAATAAATGAATAACTCAGCTGATAACTTTCATGTACGAAGGGGTCTTGTCAGTCCTCGGGTGAACAATAGTATTCACATGACTGGTCGTGACTAACTATCATGGAAGACACTCTGTATTATTTGTGGTACAGCTTAATCATTCGTTTGAGTGTGATGTTGTTTCACTAACTTTGGATACACACATTAGCTAACTCTACCACAGATAATTGCTGGACTTGTTTCATTCATACTGTTTCTAAGGAAGCGCCCTCTAATTTCTATAGGAACATAGGGCTTCAACCACTCACGTCTCCATTGCGTTCGGTTCTCTGCTAATGATTTCACACATGTTTTCATCTCCTCTTCCATGTCACCTTTACGCTGACGACCAACTCGCCACTTTCCTTTCGGGTTCCACTCACTTGATGGTTTGCTTCCTCAGAGTATGACCAACCAATCCACCTCCATTTCTTCCTGGTGATATTTGTCGCACAATCAAATCCTGCTGTGTTGGTTCGCTCATTGCCAGAGATCCCTGTTACTGAGCGAAGAGAGCTGTTAATGAAGGTCTGTAGTTTGTTTGAGGTGCTCTTCATGACGCGTCAAGTCTCTGGTCCATATAGTGAGTAGCACTGACTGACTTCACATTGGAGTTGAAAATCCGGATCTTATTTTCATTTTGATGCTGAGTGCTGCTGACCTGCACACAGACTTGATCAGAGTAATGAAAGCTTGTTTTGCTTTCCTGATCCTCGCTGTTTTGATATCCTCGTCAGTTCCGTCGGCCTGTAGTTGAAACGATGCTTCCCATGTTGGTAGATGGGTAGGTGAAGGAGGTTGTTTCCTGCAGGTTCCTCCCATTTATGCTGGCTGAGTGTTGTCTGTTGTTGGCCAGGAATCATCATCACCTCTGTTTTCTCTATGTTCACCTGAAGGAAGTCCTATCTTCCCTGAATGCTTGTTTTGCCAACTTGTTGCTTCTCACTTGCATATCTTCCAGCAGTTTGTGGGAAATCAGACATATATATCACATCGGCGAACTCCAGATCCTCCAAGTTTTTTGTGTGGGTCCATTTTATGCCCGTTTCCTCTTCGCTTGGCCAGCTGTCTGTCACATTATTCAATCTACCGCCCACAATCAAAAAATCATTAGCGATAGTAGGCAGCCAGCCAGCCAGCTTGTCTTACTTCCGTCTTCACTTCTTCGAAGGACTTCGTAAATTTCCCTCGGAGAGTGCATACATTAAAATTAATTAAGTTATTTCGATATCCAGGTTTTTGCACTTCATCAATAATCACTAGGCATTTTTTGAACACAGTCTTGGTGGTAGCAAATCAATCACTTTCTAAAAAGATGCATATATCATCAGCACTAGGAAAAGTCAACAAATGTATTATATATATATATATATATATATATATATATATATATATATATATATATATATATATATATAAGAATTATTTGGAAAGGAATATATACCTCAGTGATGATGAAGAAATCATCACCGTGTTCACCTTGACGAACAACAACCTCACCATCTTCAAAACGAACCGGTTCCAGAGCATCGGCAACAGTTAAACGCTCCCACTTGTCAAGATTATCTGAAGTATTATTGTAAAAGTATTTTTTGTCAGATATGCTACTTTTAATAATAATAATAATATGCTATATTCCAAAACAGTACTTGTGATACACAGAATAAAATTCTCAGCATTTCGCTAGAGTATATTCCATCCAGTTTGTACATTACAATAAATAAAATTCTACATAGATCATGGGTAATCTCAGTCAGTTTTTGACAACAATATATCGCTAGCATATCAGTCGGTCTGTCTGTCTGTTTTCGACATAGAACTTTGCACATATGTGCGGAAGTTCAAGTCGCCACACTCCGTGTAGCACGCGAAGCATCAGAAGAAAGTACAAGAAAGGCATAATAGAGAGAGACAGTGAGCAGAGGGGTGAGACAAAGGAGGAGTAATAACGAAGAACAAAACAGTTTCATTGGAGATCATAAGTCACAAGGAGTGGATGCATCTGCGCTAGCCACTGAGAACGATTTTGAGCCATGTAACCAATTGTTTCCAACCACAGAGTTTTACCGTCCCGAGGACCCCAACCAGGAAGCCAGTCTACACCTTCCTACATGGCTTAGACTAACTGTTGTGGATTTCATTGACCGGTGAAGCCATATTTTTGTTTGACCGCCGCTAGCTTTTTTCCAGCTTGACCCTATATTCGCTATCATTGCTCGTCGAGGAAGGCGATGACTAGGCACGCATGCGTAACACATGTCCTAACCATCTCAGTCTTTGTAACTTCACGACTTCGTCGATTGATTTCCCCTGTTTACCTAGAACTCGACCAACGCCTAACCTCAATATTGCTCACCTTATTATGTCACTTAACACACACGGGAAATAGATCACAGGCACCTAGGATCAAAGACAGCTAACCTTTTCATGTCTTCCACTCTCAGTGGCCAGGTCTCACAGCTGGCCATAAAGGAGGACGGAGTGGACTGATGAGCAGTACACCCACCCTTTGGTCGACAGTCGAACATCTCGTCTACGCCAGAGTCGGCGTAAACTGGCAAATGCGAAACGAGCCCCCTGTATTCGTGCTGATATTTCGTCAGAGATCAACCCGTTGGGGCTGATGGTACAAGAGTAATGGCTGATGACTTTTCAAGCTTTTCTAATTCAACTGGATTTATTTCTCAGTAATCGAAAAGATGCTCTACGGTGTTTATTTCTTCTGATTTTGTTTTCTCTCTGGAGATTTTTGTCCGGGCCGCATCACATTCCAAGCAAGCATTTTATTTTATAGATACAATTAAATAGAGAATCTTTCGGGGTTTGGCCTTTTATGTGGACAAGGTTGTTTCGTAGTATGTCTGATGTTCTGAAGAAAACTCTGATGTCGAGCTTATTCAGTACTTTTCTGATATCGTCTGACGTCTCTGCTCTATATGGAATGACAACCATTGAGATCCATCCACGTCTTCGGAATACTTCCTCGACCATACTGAATGTGAGTGTTGATTTTGTTGGTGAAGTTCTTTGGTTCTTTATAAAACCTGGAAGTACTGGACAACTGTTTCCGCCGTCCTAGTTTGGGACTATTCATTAGTACGCACCCACCGCCAATATTCGAACCCAGGACCTTCTGATTACAAGGCGAGCTCGTGGACCATTAAGCCACTAGGACCCGATCCAATGGCCAGTCAATGCATGAATTCTAACTTCTCCCAATTTTTCGACATAGCGCTAATGACGAAATCCTGCATCCAATCAAATCCTTACAAACCAACACTTGAATATCGATGAGATGCTCACTAGCTAATTGCCATATTCAGGTAGGTAGTTACCTGGGGTTCCAGTGGGACATTGTGTCCACAGTATTAGTGTGCAGCAGGTCGAGTATGGGGACAAATACCCGCCGAAGACAATGGCTAGTGCCAGTCGCGCTATGTCGTCAATTGACAGAAATTAGAATTCATGGGCCTTCGGACCAAGTCCCGGTGGCTTAATGGTCTACGAGCTTGTCGGCCTTGTAATCAGAAGGTCCTGGGTTCGAATCCCGTGTGCTGGATGCGTACTGATGAGGAGTCCTTAACTAGGACGGGGAGGGGGAAACAGCTGTCCAGTACTCCCTGCAGGTTTTTCGAATGATTCTCTAACCAATGTCAGCTCATGATGAAATCCTGTAACCAATCATCAATCCAATTCCTTACAAACCAACACTTGAAAAAGAAGTCAATTTTTTTTCATCAAGCAAGATGAAATATGTAAAAGTCCGTCATGATAAGCTCTACTAGTCTTACATAATCAGATATGCTGCATAGGTTTATTTCTCTTCTAAGGTGGGCGCTAAACACCATCGATTCATATATAAGAAAGGTATAAATCATTAAATCAGCCTAGACACAGTTTTGTCAATTAAAAAATCTGTTCATATGACTGCCTCAATGAGGAATTTAAGATTATTAGAGAATTACTTAGAAAAAATGGCTATCCAGATAAATTCATTGAGAAAAATATAAATTCAGCTCCAAGGAGAGTCAGTATAGCCACAGTCCCGAAAAAAACCAATGTTCATAAAATTGCACTTCCTCGGTGACAACAACATCAGAGAATTATTAACACAGCGAGCACCTGAAGAATGCAGTTAAAAGAACTTATTATGCAGTAGAGGCAGTACGTTGTCTCTTTACAACCACACCTATTTTATCTTCGAGAAATAAGGATAAACTACCTAAATTCACCGCCTCCTCTATGTGTATCTACCAGTTTGACTGCAGCTGCGGAGCCAGCCAGCTACATCGGCGCACATTTGTGCAAAGTTCTATGTCGAAAACAGACAGACAGACATCGGGGGGCGTACAATTAGGCAAGTACATCGTCGTATTTCCGAACATCATCCAATGTGGTTAAGTAAGGGACAAAAGAGATCTATTCTATTCGTAGCTCTATTTTAGCCCACCTCGTTGATACTGAGCATAAGATTGATGTTAATACAGCATTTAAAATTATTTATCGCATTCCGACTTATCTTAATTTTGCTCTGCGAGTTCGTCTTCTACAGACGGCTGAAGCCAAGCCTGTATGTTCAGAAGAAATTTGTACAGCCACTTTCCCTACCGTGGCGGCCATCGTCACAAGAATGGATAAACAGGACTGCGTTGCCCCCCTCTCCCTAAACTTAATAAAAATTATAATTGTCTAAATTATTTATTTAATTTTTATTTATTTTGACCACTTCATCTTTAATTTACGTTTTATCGTTGTAAAATTAATTTATTCTATCCATTTCTACCTTTTAATTGTCTGTATTGATTTTCTTCGTTAATTATTAACCCATTGACACTGTTTAATTATTGTTAACAAACATATCAGTGCCACTTGATTGACAAACTGTTGTGAATTGTAATTAAAATGCTATACGTGTATATTAGAGTAGAGCCAGAGTGAGACGAGGATCTAATTGAAAAGTAAATATTTCTTCGCTCGCTCAATCTTTCTGTTTTCTAAATGTCTGAATGGGGATTTTTTCTTAATTAAAAAAATATATATAACAATCTTAGTGAAAGACCTTATTACAACAACTACATGAATAGGATTATTAGTCGTTTTTTTTAGTGATAATCACGAAAGATCTTCCCTGCTCTGTTTCCACAGATGAGTGTGAAAATTATTAGACCAATAGTCAGTCACACTTCCCTACTCCACCCTGTGGTGTAGGTGGCACATTCAGTGGTTAGGACTCTCACCGACCATATCGTACATGGTCCAACTTTTCGATCCCATGACGACGCACACCTGATATCTGATCTGTGATCGGCATACAAAATTTGGGCTATCGATATATAACATGCTGAAAATGCCATACCTTTTACAAAAATATACGGTGTGGAATCAAGCTGTAATTAAAAAATTATAGAAAAATAAAATAAAGAAGGAGCACATCCTCTGCAAATACAATAACGCACACAAAATTTAGAAAATATTTCTCAATGAAAAAGCAAACAAAACTAACTGAGTTAATTATGAGTCAGACAGAGGGAAAGGATGCCTTGGTGCATGTCTGGTCCCATTCAAAAAGGCGTAGGAACCGGTCACCGGCTGGCTTCCAATGGATAGTCGACTCCCTACTCCACTCCTACTGCCTTGTAGGTCACACTTGGTTGGTTGTGTAAAGGCTAGAGCTGCACTCTCAAACAAAAAGCCGAGCGATCCTGGGGGGGACATCACTCGTACCTAATTCCCATCAAACTTCATCAACTCTCGTTGATACAACATCAACCAAATCCCAGTACTGGTCGAACAACGTCGCCTTCGGTGGTTCGGCCATGTTCTGGGCCGGGCCGACCAGATGACGATCAGGTCAAATCAGTCAAATCTAAATCCCTCCTCGCCATTTCCATCTTGGCGATGTCGCAGGGGGGCGGGGTGGACAGCTGAAAACACATGGCTTGGTACAGTCAGTCATGGCTGATATGGAGTGCCATGGGCTGGGGCTACAAACCGTCTACGGACTCCGTCTGTGGAACAAGAATTGGATAAGCCTGTCGTGGCGAAACCTTGGATCAGATCGCCGCGCCTGGCCAGCGATGATTCGAGATGTTCATGAAGCCAGGTTAACCTCCCATAGGAGATAGCCGAAGTAAAGTAAAGTAAGTAAGAAGACAAGGATATCCTCGACCTATGTGAAGAATCTAGAAAACACCTGGATTTCGCGCGGCGATGATTTATGTTTGATGTCACACAAACAAAATCGAAGACTTAGAGACAAGTGAAAACCGACAATGGAACAATAATAATTATAATAATAATATAACTGAGCTAATTGTGTACATCTAAAGACTTGTGTGTGTGTGTGCATGTAAATCTACCTAGAATAGGTACACGGCACAGGAATTCTTGATACATTTTTCGTCGACGTATTGTACTGCCCATTAATATCCTCCTGTAGGAATCACGATCAATGCCCCATAGCTTGACTTCTGTTTTCGCCTTGACAGTAGCTGCTCTCGGTGTACCGTAGATAAGCGCCAATTCGCCGAAGCTGCCTCCTTCACCAATAGTACTACTGTATTCATTATTCAGGAATATCTACGCAACAAAAAACACAAAATGAATACATCGTTGTATCTGAAAGAGGAAAAAATAAGTGTGGCTATACAAAAGAAAGAAAGAAAAAATCAAACTTCAAACACACACACACACAAAAACTTAATTATAAGTTTCCACACCGTAGGTAGGTGTTACGAATACTTCCTGGAATAATTTCAGCGCAGAATCAGTCAGATTGATTCATTATAAATCTCAGTGAGGATGGAGACGGCTAGTTTACGCATATGCCAGTTCACGCCGTCTCTGTCTTAGTAGGCGTGATATCCGACTGGCTATTGACCAAAGGGCGGCGGGTGTACTGCTCAGGAGTCCGCTCCGTCCTCCTTTATGGCTGGCTGGCTGGCTGTGAGACCTGGCCATTGAAGGTGGAAGACATGAAAAGCCTAGCTGGCTGTCTTTGATCATAGGTGCCTGTCTGGGTTCTATCTCCCGTATGTGTTAAGTGATATAATAAGGTGAGAAATATTGAGGTTAGGCGTCGGTCGAGTGCTGGGTAGGTAAGAGGGGAAATCAATCGACGAGGTTGTGAAATTACATTGACTGAGATGGTTAGGACATGTGTTACGAATGAACGCCTAGTTATCGCCTTCCTCAACTGACAGGCAATGTTAGCTGACATAGGGTCAGGTTGGAAAAGAGCTGGTGGCGCGGTGGTGAAACCAAAACATGGCTTCTTCACCAGTCAATGAAATCTACAACAGTTAGGCTGAGCCACGTAGAAAGGTGTAGACTTCCTAACTGGTTGGGATCCTCGGGATGACGGTATAAGCCATTGGAGACTGGAAACAATTGGTGGTGATATGGTTCACAATCTTTCTCAATGTCGCAGATGCATCCACTCCTTGTGATTTATGATTTCCAATGAAACTATATTGTTCTTCGTTCGTTATTACTATTTCTTTGTCTCACGCCTCCTCTGTTTACTATCTCTAGTATGCATTTCTTCTACTTTCTTGTCTTGCTTTGTGTGATACATGGAGGGAGTGTGGCGACTTGAACTGGTGCACATTTGTGCAAAGTTCTATGTCGAAAACAGACAGACAGACAGACAAATACACACTAAAAACAACATAACCTTCTCTTCCTCCTTTGATATAATCACCCACCCTCCAAAACCAACACATTTCCTCATCTGTATTATGTTAGACAAATATTATATTTAAAACAATTAATTGCCTTTATGAATTTAGATAGAGCAATAAGAAGACGTGTTTTGTCTGTATGAATCGTGTGCCTCTAGAATAGGAAGAGAATGGTTTATCTTTCCTAGACGACATATTGCTTATTCGACTGATGACTTGATGGGTCAATAAAGTGATCTATTTATAGAAAACCTACCTACCTGGACAGGACAGTAATCTTAATTGCCACAGTTTCTGCCCTATTCGGTACAAAAGAGCCTTCCTTAGTGAGTGACGTGCCTCTTCAGTAGAATCCAACGAATATGCACTGAAGACAGACACATTTGATGATGGGGAAGAAGAAAGAAAGTTGACACTAACTCTGCTCTGGTTGATAACAATTATCCAGACAAGTTCATCAGGAGATATTATAAAGTAGTCAGTGGAACACCAAGACCCACTCACTCTACAACTCTCCCCTGAGAAAGACGTGTACATCGAGCTATCCTATACGTGGGCGGGCATCACATAGCAGTCTGATAACTAGGCAAAGATTGAACGATGCTGTTAAGAAGACTTTTATGCAGGTAATATCATATTAATTGAGAATGTCAGGCCAATATATATTCATCCATCTAAGCTCTTTGAACATGCAAAAAATGATGTCACATCGCACTGTATTTACCAATTCGAATGTTCGTGTGGCCACACACATACATAGGGAAGACTCATCGATCTGTGCAAGTAAGGGCTTTAGAGCACGTTCCTAAATGGCTCCAAAAATAAATGGAATCTTCACAACCCATTAATGGTGAGAACAGGACACCTAGCTTCTCTATTGCGAAACATAATCAGAGAGGAGATAGGACATAAAATTGATGTTAACATATCTTTAAAACCTATCTATAAAACGTGTTTGGGGTGTATCCTAAAGTTTGTGAAAGTTAGCCCTAGGTGGCAGTTAGGAAGTTTAAACCATCTTTATGCGTTTAAAGCAGCAAATCGTCATCACACTAACTAAACCTATCTTCCTTGTTGGTGGTAAACTTTGTTTTGATACTACCCAGGGCAGATGTACTATTACCTCTGTTATTTGGTTAAATCATTCATCTTCATTGTTATTTTGACCTTCAATATGTCCTCCTTTTAAACTTGACTTAAGTAGTCTATGTAGTCACCCACCACTTAACTCGTTATTAATTTCATATATATATGCCTCCAAAGCCTCAGGATGGTCGCGGGTGGGTGCCTTGCGCTGCGGGTTGGCCACCTTTCCGTAAACCTCTTGAAATGCTCCCATATGACCGGGAGTCTTACATAGCCTCTCCTGAGGAAGTCCTACTCACTGCCTTCACGTGGCGGGTGTTTTTCACCGAACTGAGAGGGCAAAAGCGATGCCGAGCGCTCATCACCGGGGTTGACTGTCCATTGGATGACAGACAGTCTAGGGGAGATGGCTAAACCCTGATTCCAAACCTTCAACGACTGGCGTATCAAGCTCACCGGCAGACGTATGGACAAAGGGCTTATTGGATGCCCTGGTGCATGTCTGGCCCCATTCAAAAAGGCATATGAACCGGACTCCGGTCACCGGATGGCTGACAATGGATAGTCGACTCTCTACTCCACTCCTACTGCCTTGTAGGTCACACTTGGTTGGTTGTGTAAAGGCTAGAGCTGCACTCTCAAACAAAAAGCCGAGCGATCCTGGGGGGGACATCACTCGTACCTAATTCCCATCAAACTTCATCAACTCTCGTTGATACAACATCAACCAAATCCCAGTACTGGTCGAACAACGTCGCCTTCGGTGGTTCGGCCATGTTCTGGGCCGGGCCGACCAGATGACGATCAGGTCAAATCAGTCAAATCTAAATCCCTCCTCGCCATTTCCATCTTGGCGATGTCGCAGGGGGGCGGGGTGGACAGCTGAAAACACATGGCTTGGTACAGTCAGTCATGGCTGATATGGAGTGCCATGGGCTGGGGCTACAAACCGTCTACGGACTCCGTCTGTGGAACAAGAATTGGATAAGCCTGTCGTGGCGAAACCTTGGATCAGATCGCCGCGCCTGGCCAGCGATGATTCGAGATGTTCATGAAGCCAGGTTAACCTCCCATAGGAGATAGCCGAAGTAAAGTAAGGTAAGTAATTTCATATATATATATATATATATATTTATTCATATGATAAGTCCGTGTGTGATGGATCAGATTGTTCGAAATGTGCTGTGGGCGCAAATACAACATTACACACGATTCAGACAAATTACGTCTTCTTATTGCTTTATCTAAATATTGTTATTATTATATTCTATTTTATAGTATATCATATTCAGAAACCCAACACCCTGGGAATATTAAACTCACATCAACTTCACCTTGATCGATAATATAGAAATTATCCCCTTCATCGCCTTGTTGAATAATCACATCACCTGGATTACGGTGTACAGGGAACATGGCGTCAAATATATCACTGGTGAGGAGAGAAAAAAAAGAAGAAGAATTAAGACAAATTCAGATTGAGTGTGTGAAGAACCAGTTAAAGAATAAACACGTACTTACGATTAGAAAAAAAAAATTATTGCGGGGGAAATATTACAAATAAGAAGGTTTAACAAAATAATACAGTATATTATGATTAGTCTTCGATTCTGTATGTCGTGTTTACTGGAAACTACTACTACTATTTTACTTCAGGCCAATAGGCATATGTATCACCTGAGAAAATAAGACTATTATTTAACGAAACCCATAAAATCAATTCCCGTTGTTCAGAGCATTCTTTAGAACATAAAAAAGAACACAAATCAGCTGTGAAAAGATATTATATATATAACAACAGAAGACAAGGGCCAGGCAACAGATCGTTTTATTACGAAAATCAAGACGTATTTATATATATTTCACATACATTATTATAGCCAAGTAGACAAACGCAGTCTTCTGATTGGTTGTTTCGGGATTCAAAAATCATCAGCCGTAGGTCTACATGCTATAGAATCAGGCCACAAAATTGATTTTGACAATATTGAAATAATCCAGAAAAACTTCAGAAACCACAAAGAACGTCTCCTATCATCAGAAGCACTTCATATCGTCAGGTGGAATCCAAATTTCCTGAATAGGAATGATGGACTAAAACAGAATCTAACCTGGCTACAACACCCTCCCCATGAAGTAGCAAAATCAACGCAAATGTGATGAGCAAGTTCACTCTATGTAAATACACACTACTTTCATAATTCTACACTGACAAAATCCAACAATCTACACTTGATTTTATCTTTACCTATTCTCGAACTTGACAACCAAAAATGACCCCAGACTAACGAACGATGATCAAGTTAGTAAACTTTGTTTTGATATAATAACATATACTATTACCTTTGATATTTGGTTTGAACGATCTTCATTGTTATTTTGACTTTCAATATGTCCTTTTAAGTTGAACTAAGTCTATATTTTTTTCTCACCCCTAACTCTTTGTTATATATATGCTGAGATTTTGTGAATTCCGGTTTATTAATACTTTGAGAAAGCTATTAGCATTAAATAGCGAAACGTCAGTAAAAAAACAATCTCGTTTTGTTTTTCATTCACTGGGAAATACGAAAACCTCTACTATAATGAGTTCCGGGATTCCTCAAAAAATAGAGTTCTCTATCTGCGAATCATATTTTGCCACGTTAAGTTTGCTGTGATTGGTTTTTGAATCACCCTTGTATATATTTTCTCACGGCCTGCTCTCACCATATATATATATATATATATATATATATATATATATATATATATTCCTGTTTCACATCAATGCTCATATAGACAATTATGGACATCAGTTTGATAACTAGGATAATGTCGAAATTTTATACGCAGGAGTCATCATCAAAAGTGCAGTGCCAGGGAATTCCTAGAAGTCTGGTGGTACCCACACGAATCAGCTAGCGATTAACAAACATGTTAATATAGACCAAATACACCAACTAATAATAATAAAGTGAATCAGGTAACCAGAAAATTTTAAAATCCAAGTCAATAATAATAAAAATGATCAATACATATGTAAAGATGGTTACCGGGAGACGACGCACGCAATTCTATCACCACTCATGAAGAAATTTAACTCATTTCACCTTATGCTAAATAAATATTGCGCTGAAGATGTTGTCCAGAAGGACGACGAAAGCCCCACAACTAAGCCAAGCAGCTTAGAGAACACTATTAAGAGCAAATCATCCACCTGAGCTACAAATCTTATCTATTATTTCAAAAGAAGAAACCAATGGCAGTACGCAGTCACGATCTTCCGATTACAAGGCAAGCTGGCTAGTATATCATTCAGCCACTCACTGGGGCAAGATTCAATGGCCAGTCCATGAATTCTAACTTTTACAAGATGGAGTTCCCTGGAGTCAGTTCTAGTGACAAGTCGTCACTAGGACCAGTGAGGTTCATTCAGAGTCACACGTGTGTGAGGATGGATATCCCACCGACAACCACCGATTGATTGGTATCACCAGTCGCTCTAAATGCATCACGAATTGGTAGAAGTTAGAATTCATGCACTGGCTGACTGACTGACTGACTGACCATTGATTGAATCAGGTCGAGTCCCGGTGAGTGGCTGAATGGTATACGAGCCAGCTAGCTTGCTGGTTGGTGGCCTTGTAACCGGAAACTCCTTGGTTCGAATCCCGATGCAGTGGTAGGTGTGTACTGCCGATGATGATTCTCAAACTAGGCTGATGAACCAACTGGCTGTCCAGTCCTCCCTGTAGCTAGTTTTCAATGGTTCTCTAACTGAAATCAATCCGTGATCAACTCGTAAAACAAAACATAACTAACGCTTACAAACTAAACTATAGACAAAAAAAAGAAAGAAAGAAAATAACACCATATATTTTACTTAAGCAAAGAGGAGAAACTGTCGAACTTACAATATACCTACAACATTATTAACTTGAAACAAGCACACAAACACAATCTAACTGAAGATGAATTAAATGTTTTACTTGCCAAAAAGTGTCTTTAAACACATACAACTGGCAATAAGACCCATATATCTAGTATGTGTCAGTGACTATGATTAATTTCATACAGTGAGATTCCCTTTTTTTTATAAATTTGAACAAACAAAGAAAGAAGAAACATTGATGCGCAGAATGATCTGGATGCATTTTATTTCGTCGGTTTTCATCAGCTGCGTACAATTTTAACAAACTTTTGTCCGCTAACAAGCGCATATTGTCAGAGCGTCATAGTGAAATAAGGCATTGCGATTAACAAGGTGTTTAAAGTGTTACGACATATATATATATATCTTGTTAGAGAAAAGTTTCTTAAAAAAAAAATTAATTAACAGTTGTGTTGTTGCGGTGGTAACAAAAATTTCAAACATTCTCATTCGTCCCGCCACCTGTAATTTAAACGATTCTAACCAGGCATTAAAGTGAGAGAGAGAGAGAGAGAGACAACTACCCTTACGTTCCCCCCATCCCCACCCCACTGAGGCTGATTAGCATTGCTTGTTGCTGGACGGGGATTTTCATCACCCACCCCCCATCTTCTTTATACTCAAGTTGAAGTCCTGTTTTTATCGCCTTTTTTCGATAACTTAATGCTTTTCACTTGTAAACCATCGCTTTTGTGCAATACAAGACATCAGTGATCCAAGAAGTCCACGGATTCTACTGTGTAGCTTTTACACCACGGCATATATGGCCGTTCTCATACTTCCCCCACCACCCTCCATGGTCTGCCACGTGATCCACTGACAATAACAGTCTCTAGGCATAAGTGCCTTAGTGTCTCGAGAACTCCAGGTAATATCACTCTAAACTACTGAACATGCCTTAAACCCACAATCAAAGACTTTATGGATTGGTCGCATGTCTTGGGTAGACCATCCCTCCCCCTCTAACTCATTATTTTTAACTTGATCCTATGCCGACTAACATTACCCTGTGACTGCAGTATTCACTGGATGACGCGGGTTCGAATTTCAAAAGGGACATGAACTGTTCCTTCTATGTGGTTGCAGATACGCCTTCCTGAATGTCCGGTGAGTGCAAACAAAGCACGAAACCTCTAGGTCTAGACAAGGCTTCTTCTGATCGATTGCCTCCAACTATCTAAAATCGGTTCACTTTCACAACCTCATCAACTGGCTTTTTCCACCTTACCCATCACTCTACGCCTAACCATCATCAGTACTACTTAAGCATTCTAGTAAAGCTCTACTGCCACCTAACAGGCGAAACAGATCACCAAACACAGGCAACTAACCCTCTTTGAGTCATCTACCGTCGATGATCATGTCTCACAGCCATGAGCCCATAAGGAAGGAGGCCAAGGTGAGCTGTTGTTCAGTAAATACGACTATTGACCAACAGTCGGATGTCTACACCGTCTACACCAAAGGTGATATATATAAGTTGACGAACGCAACAAACACACACACAAGTGGAGTGCAAATTAATTACATAAATGAAACAAAAAACAGTTCATTACATATTTTTTACGAGTTGATCACGGATTGATTTCAGTTAGAGAACCATTGAAAACTAGCTACAGGGAGGACTGGACAGCCAGTTGGTTCATCAGCCTAGTTTGAGAATCATCATCGGCAGTACACACCTACCACTGCATCGGGATTCGAACCAAGGAGTTTCCGGTTACAAGGCCACCAACCAGCAAGCTAGCTGGCTCGTATACCATTCAGCCACTCACCGGGACTCGACCTGATTCAATCAATGGTCAGTCAGTCAGTCAGTCAGCCAGTGCATGAATTCTAACTTCTACCAATTCGTGATGCATTTAGAGCGACTGGTGATACCAATCAATCGGTGGTTGTCGGTGGGATATCCATCCTCACACACGTGTGACCTCTGAATGAACCTCACTGGTCCTAGTGACGACTTGTCACTAGAACTGACTCCAGGGAACACCATCTTGTAGCTAGTGGTCACTACTACTAGCGAGCATCAGATTAATTTTTTCTATAGTTTGATTTGTAAGGGTTAGTTATGTTTTGTTTTCTAAGAGTTGATCAAGGATTGATATCACATATTGCCAAAACCATACAACTGAACGATAGTACATTCAAATGTTACCTTCGTTTATTTTATTCGATAAGGAATACTACACATTAAATACAGTAAATACAGGATTCAGACAAGGGTGCTTATTATCACCAATGAATGATATTCCTAATTTTGGTGGACTGACTGGATTATGCGTCAGACAGTGGGAAACAAGTAGACAAGGATATCCTGGACCGACGTGAAGAATCTAAAAGACCCCTGGATTTCGCGCGGCGATGATTTATGTTGGATGTCACACAAACAAAATCGAAGACTTAGAGACAAGTGAAAACCGACAATGGAACAATAATAATTATAATAATAATATAACTGAGTTAATTGTGTACATCTAAAGACTTGTGTGAAGGGTGTGTGTGTGTGCATGTAAATTTACCTAGAATAGGTACACGGCAAAGGAATTCTTGATACATTTTTCGTCGACGTATTGTACTGCCCATTAATATCCTCCTGTAGGAATCGCGATCAATGCCACACAAAACAAATCGAAGACTTAGAGACAAGTGAAAACCGACAATAACTGGTCGATCGAAGAATCAGTCGGCGAAGACAGGACTCCAGGTGAACATAGACAAGACGGAGGTCATGAAAATAACCAGTCAACCAACCAACCAACAACCACAACAACAACAGCAGAAACATCTAGCGTCAATCACCATCAACGGGAGGGATTTCAAAGAAGTTACTTCATTCACTTATCTACGGAGGAATGGACGAGGATGTCAAAACGAGAATCAAGGGAGGGGGGTGAGAAACACATTCACTCATCAACCTGAAACCAATCTGGAAATCTTTGTCACTCAGCCAACATCAACAACAAAATTCAGTCGGATTTTCAATACAAATACGTCAAGTCAGTCAGTTCTTCTATACGGAACGGATCAGAAACTTGGCGAGTCGGTCACAAAGAATATTTCCACCAACAGCCTGCTGCACACATCACCTTTATCAACAACTAACTGTCTTCGCTGGATGTATACTGAAGATCAGATCAGGCCGGGCCGCAAAAAAGAATCACCGACAACAAGAAACTATGGGAACAAACAAACAAACAAAACAAGAACCAATCGCCCAACAACAACAACAACAAATATGCAGGAGACAGTGATGGAGATGGATTGGACACTCGCTGAGGAGGCCGCCGCTGGGTGACATCGCACGCGCGTCACGCCCTACAGTGGGACGTCAGTGCAAGGGTGGCATGGAGGAGAAGATCGTGTGAAGAGGAGTTGAAACAGTATGCACTAACATAGATGATGCAGGTGAAAATAAGTACACCAGAGCAGAAGACACAAGCAAGCAAGTGGAGATAAGTGCAGTCGAGGCCCTATGTTCCACTAGGAACCTAAGGGAATAACATCACACATTAAATACAATACTCAAACAAACAATTCATATTAAAGGCAAAAAAAGACATGAGATAACGTGGGCAAAACATATACATACCTTCTTTCCGTTTCATCCAAGTGTGAGAACAAAACATTCTTTGCGATAGCCTTCGAAAGTGCTGTCATAGTTTTGTAGTCTTTAGGGACGACCTTAAAAGGAAGGAAGGAAGAAAGAAAGAAGTGAATGATATTAAAACAAGAAAATACACTCACTGTTGAAGGGAGTAACCTTCATCATGATATCACTGATCTTATTATTAATGTTGTTCACTAATGTGTGTGGGTGTTGTTCTCATATTGGAATTGACGAAAAAAATAAAACACAACCAAAAAGAGAAAAATGAAAATCGTTTTAAACTTACCACACAAAAAAAAACATAAGTATCAGTTTCTACCTTAATATTTTATAGATATGTGTGTGTAAGCGCAATATCGCTTGAAATTAAGTCACGCGTAGATAAAAGCCATCCCGGTGGTCCAGAACAAACAAGAAGTCGGTCACTGTTTCTACGGCACTATTAATAAACAAATCAATAATTATATATATATATATATATATATATATATATATATATATATATATATACAACAAACCTTAACGATTTCAGGAGTACAAAGCACAACGCTTAACAGAAAGCAAAGTACCGCTATCAGAGCGGAATAACGTTAAAGCCAAAATTGCGAACTAGCCGGAATCAGACACGACCGTTCAGGTAAGCAGTCATTAGAAGAATGAACCCAAGTAAGGCATGGCATAAAACAGAGAGCGTTTAAGAGAGACCGAGCATAGGCACAAAGATAGAATTTAATTGGCTAATAAGATAAACTCAACAGAATAGTACAAATTCATACGAACTGTGATCAAGATTTGACCGGATAGTTGCAAAATAATTAAGCGCTGAGTGAGAAGTAGACATTTATAAAGCTATATTTGTAAAGTCTCAGCGAAATTGAAATGATTAATTCCAACGTTTCGTTCGGCAATCTGGTCCGAACTTCTTCAACAAGATGTATCGCTTTATATATAAACTTTGTTGACCCAATTAGACAAAATAATATAATTTACAAAATACCTTGCAATGACTGTGAGTTAGGTCAACTACATAGGTGAAACAAACTAGTAGATCGGGGTAATCAGATTGTTGGAATATAAGAATTTAGCTAAGGTAAGAATGGTGACCCCACCCGAGAAGATAAGTAATTTAGAGAAAAAGCTCAGCACTACACTGCACTTCACGCCTTAACAAACAACTACACAATAGCATGGTGAGAGAGGGTTAAGATTCTAAGGAGTAATCTATGTAGGTGGAGATAGAGAGAGACTGATTACTGAATCCTGACTGGTTCATCGAGTCTACACACCCAACACAACACAAGCAACAGAAATGATTCAATGCAAATACCACAAATATGCATGGAAGATATTATCACCACCAGTCAGTCAGTGAAATCACGGGAGGATAATAAATAATCTCAAATTGTATTCTATTTCAATTCAATTCACGTACATCATCACAACATTCTAACAAGTTACTCACTTATTTTGACTATAAAACAAAAACACTTGTCTTATTTCCCATCTGATTGTTGTAATTGATCACTCATAACATTCATATTATCATGATTATTATTTCTGAATGTACATTATCCCATATTGTTGATTTGTATTCAAATGTCTAATCATCAATTCCACTCATGTGTATATAAATGAAGGAAACAAGAAAGTTGTGTGAGTGAGTGACTTGATATGATGATTATGAGTGGGAATAATAATAAATTGTGCTCGAAATGGCGTGTGTGGTCGGATCAGTTAATATTACTGTATAACAAGCACTCGAAGGCAAAGTTTAACTTTAGACACCACTAATAACCAATCAGCATACGACCTTGAACGGACCAATCACAATAAAGAGGCATATGTGATGAATAGAAATGTATATTTATAGAAAAAAAGCACAAAATAGAGAATGAAAAAGTTACATGGGATATTTTTTCTCGAACATGTGAGAGAAACATCTCCCAGTTTAGCATGGGACTGTCAATGCTTTTCCATCTGCTATCCTTTCGACGAATCTCTTTCGGAGGGAGGTGTCATACAAACCTATTACCCAAATATTGTTCGCTCGCTGGCGACCACGGTTGTATTTCTTTTTTACCAGCACTGTCTCATCGACAAGCACGATAACGTCTTCCCCACCCAGCAAACAAGTGATTTTCCCCATTTTCCATGATGCGATGTCTCTGCAATGCTGGTACCACTGAACTGTTGAGACATAGCTATTCTCCATCTCGGCAGCTGCTGCTCTCACAGCCTGTTTCAACACCTTTCAGTTGCAGATATACAAAATCTGGGTTAGGGAGAGATGCGACCTAGCGAAAGTAAGTTCCTACGAAATATTAAAATTATCAGCTTACCCTCTCCAGATGGTATAGCTTTTTAAAGTAATGATACCACCACACAAACAAATTCGCTGTTTCCGGAGCAACTCAAATCCAGGAAATACTGGAAAACACTAACCTCCTCGAATTGCAATTGTAGCCTTGTAAGGTCACGCATTAGAAATGAATCAAGCGCTATACAACATTGAACTGCGTTCGTGAACCTCATTGGATAATTCGACATCGTTCGTGAATCTCATTGGATAATTCGCTGATTGGTAATTAGAAGTGTCGAAAGTTTAACTTCGCCGACGTATGGACAAAGGACTTATTGGATGCCCTGGATGTCTGGCCCCATTCAAAAAGGCGTATGAACCGATCACCGGCTGGTTTCCAATTGATAGTGGACTCCCTACTCCACTCCTACTGCATTGTAGGTCACACTTGGTTGTTTGTGTAAAGGCTAGAGCTGCACTCTCAAACGAAAGGCCGAGCGATTCTTGGGACATCACTCGTATCCAATTCCCATGAAACTTCATGAACTCTCTTTCGAGATGTTCAGGAAGCCGACTCATCCTCCCGTAGGAGATAGCCGTAGTAAAGTAAAGTAATTAGGAGTAGATATCCTTAAATAAAGAGAATCTATGATTCCCTGAAAGAAGACTTTTCCAGTATTTTTTTTTGATTTTTGATTTACAGCTTGATCCCACACTGTATTTTTCGTGCAAGCATGGAATTTTCAGCATGGATATTGGTAGCCCGAATTTCGCAGGCCGACTATAGATATCAGGTGTGCGCCGGCGGCGTGGGCTCGAACCCCGGACCATGTGCATGGTCGGCGAGAGTCCTAACCACTGTGCCACCGACGCCCATTCACACCACGATACACCCATTGACTGGGTTTTGGTTTTCAGGAGAACCAAACACACGCATCCTTGCCTCTTGCGAGACGAGAACGGCATGCAGGATCAACCTGTGGTGCAACCACTCGAGAGCCCTCTCCCTCGGTGGACCAAATCCGGTAGTAACTCTAAGCGTGATATTCTCTAGCCGCCCACTACTTCGGAGCAACGGGAAGGACAGACTTCTTTCTGCATATGACCACTTCAATGTGGATATATCAGTTCACCTGCTCTTACGGAGCTAGATACATAGGTCGTTCTATGCGGTCATCAGTTAATATTACTGTGTAACAGTTTACCAAAATAAATTCTTACCTATAATGGAGTTAAATTAACACAAGCAAGGCATAACACCGTATCCAAGGTCACACACACACAAAGAAGGACGACGAAGGCGCCCACAAGTACCTACCTTTTTTACATACGATGCTGCATCCTCTTCTGTATAAACCTCTCCACTAACTGCTCCTCTTCGAGATCGACGTCTGGTTAGATTAGCAACACCGGAAGATGGTGATGCAGCCATATAACCACCATCGGTACTATTCGCCGTCTCATAGCTGCTTCCTTCTTCGGTTGCGCCATAGAAATCGCAATTACTATCGATATTCAAAGCTGGAGGAGTTTTAGTCATGCTGTTGGGGATAGGGAAATCTGGATCAGACAGGTACTGATGGCTCTTCATTTGGAAGCATTGGCGGTCCTGGTCTCGACTGTTGACTGGCGGCAGGTTGTGAACACTGGTTTTATGCGTCAAGTCTTCATGTCCACCAGAAGCACTCAACGTAGGGAATGATGATGATGATTGGGGATTTTCTTCACATTCTTGTGATTGTTTCTCTCGAAGAGTGGAGTCTGTCTCATGATTCGCTTGGGAGGTACTGCACTTTACGCAAGAAGAAACCTAAACATAGAGTCAACGAAAAGAAAGGTGCATTTGGATGACGTATTACTCGGCATTTCTTTTTTTTTATTTCAAAGACCTACTGAAGGCAAGGTAAAGCAAAAAAAAATTGGGAAGTATTTCAAAAACGATTGGCTTGTTTGAAGAGGCATTAATGGAAACAAAACACGTAGATCAGCGAAGTCTCTTTTCGGCGGTGAATTCATTTTCTTAGCTGTACAATCGCAAATATATATATATACATGTGTTATTTTGTATGTATGTGTACATTAAGTTTGTCAAACGCATCTGTAGTCGCGACGTTCTGGAAACAGAATTAGATATTCTAAGAGAAATCTTCATTCAAAAATGGATACCCAATAAAATTCATCGACAAAAATATCAAACCAAGAATTCGGAGAAACGAAACTTTAATTGCACCTAAAAAGAAACTCTACATGAACTTGGATTTCAAGGGAGATTTAGCAGGCGATATTCTCAAGAGAAGGATCACATCACCTTTGAGAAGAACATTCTTTGCAGCAACACTAAGACTAGTGTTCTCCAGTCGCCCACTGATCTGCAGAAGCCTCAAGGACAAGATCCCGCATCTGACCACTTCTATGTGCATATATCAGTTCACCTGCTGCTGTGGAGCCAACCAGGTATATCGCTCGTTTGACGCGCGCCCTGTCCAAGAGGATTCAAAAACACTATCTAGCATGGTTGCGAAAAGGCAATAGTGGTGCAATAAGGAGTGCGATAATTGAACACCTGGTTAACACTGATCATTGCATTTCAACAAATGCTTCCTTCAAAGCAATCTACAGAGTCACGAATAACCTATCAAAGGCAATACGGTTTAGTCTCTTCTTTGCATCGCTGAAGCTCTGGTCATTCATGTAGAAAAACCGGAGCTGTGCATACAAAAGAGGATTACTCAACCACTTTTACTGTCATGGTAACAACTTTTTTATTTGATTTTTTTTATTTTGATGACTCAACTTTGTTTCTTTGCCTGTTCTTTAATTGCTTAGAATTCTAGTATTCATTTAGAACTCTCGCGTAATTTCGTATTATCTACTTTGTTCCTATGTGCATCCTGAGTAAAACTCACTCATCAAACTATTCATATTATTATATAACTTCTTTTTTAATAACTGTTTGTGACAACTCATCAACTTTGTTACTACCCTAATTTAATTAACACCCAATTTTCTTGACTTGTATTACCAATCTTCACCTGTTTAGTTAAAATAATCATAACCAATTGTCTATTTTCGTTTGACAAACTTAATGTACACAAACGTACACAAAATATATATTTGCGATTGTACAGTTAAGAAAAGAGACTCTACGCTGACCTAGGTGTTTTGTTTTCATGAAGAGGCACTAACGTTAACAGATTACAATAAGAACCGTTTGATTCTAAATGGGTATAAGAAAATTTCCCTAGTGATCTATCAAGATACTGTACCTTGGTTCATGAAGCAACACCTTTTTGCTTAGAAACCCTCTATACATCGTGTAAATCCACAGGATTCTCTTTTCCAAAAGCATAAGTAAGCGATGAGGAGGGGGGAGCAGTAGGTAATTGCATCTCCTACTTCAACAATGTCTGGTCTCGACCATAAGTGGGTTCATCATCTATGTGTTTCTAACCAGTTGGGGGTAAAGAAAAGTTGTAAAGGTCTTACGCGTGTCAAGTTTGTCCATATTTAGCAGAAGAAAACCAAACTTTTGGCGTAGCTAGATGGCAATAGTTATCGTGAGTTCTCCTGCTATGTGCATTCTGCTGTCGAAACGTATGTGAAGAAGTGAATAACCCAGTCGATAAACATTTGTATCCGTACTGAAATCTTAAAAGAATACTTATTAAGATGTACCATGAACGTAAACTTCAAATTTGGAGGCACGCTTTACAGGCAAGTGGACGGGGTGGCTATGGGCTCCCCACTGGGTCCCATTCTGGCTGATTTCTTTCTAAGTAAGCTAGAAAATGGACCTCTGAACAACCTTATCAGTAAGTTCTCATTTTATCGCCGATATATGGATGATACCTTTATTCTTTGTGATAATGGTTCTGATAAGAGTACAATAATCACTGAATTCATTCAAGTACATTCGACTATGAAATTCACATGCGAAGAGGAATCCCAAGACAGAATTGCCTTCCTGGATGTCCTACTTACAAGAAAACCAGATGATAGCATAAAAAGAAATTTCCATAGAAAAAGTACTTGGACAGGATAATATACACATTTTCACAGCTTAGTTCCTATCAAGTACAAAAGAAATTTAGTGAAGACCCTCAGCCACAGAGTTATAGCTATATGCTCAGAAGTAATTGGAGATGAATTAATTAAGCATTGTATATGATACTTTGATTGATCGAAAATAGCTATCCCGAAAAATGTATCAAGAAACACATGAGAAAGAAAGCCTAAAAGGACTACTCACTATCTGTAAACAAGAAGCCACTTTATATACGACTGCAATTCAAGGGCGACATATCAAGTAAGATAATCACGAAGAAATTAAGAAAATCAGTTTCAAGGATTTTTAATGCTGGCGAACTACACGTATTATTCTCTCTCTACACGACCGATGGTGATTCCTCGACTGAAAGATTAAGTACCTAGACTAGGTGGCCAATTCAAATTGTATCTACCAATTCAACTGCAACTGTGCTTGTGATAGGGTGAGTTATATCGGCCGTTGCTCTAGGAACTTGATTTTTCGTGCTCACTCGAGAACATCTCCCACTATGACTAAGTAAAGGGTGTAGTGAAAACAATCATCAACAGTTCGATATTGGACCATCCGGTGCAAACCGGCCGACCACAAAGCCAGCCAGCCAGCGTGGAAGAATCCTTCTCTATCATCTACCGGGTGGCTAATAAATTGCCAAAATCATCGAATCACCGAATGCTCCAAACAGCAGAGGCTATTGCAATTCATCACCTTAAACAACCAGTGCTCTGTGTGCGCAGAAGAAGCAAGTCCAGCCAGGTGGCCACTACTACTGCCCTGGCTAGCCTTCAGTGGAGAATATAAATTCATGAATTTGTTATATTATCTTTCCTAATTTTTTTCTGGCATTCAGTTTTTTGTTATGTTGATGATATTGAGCTGTAATCTATCAATATTATTGATTTGATGTTTATTTAAAATTTAATGTTCATAACACTAATTCATTCACTCATTCACTATTATGGATGGATATACAACTGTAGAGCTTGATGAATAACAGGTTATCGAAAAGAGTACTCTTTGTTCAGTATCCATTCTATTGAAAAAGTGAATACCACTGATAACCTGCAATGGGAACCGCATTTCTGCGACCGCATCTGACCTGATGGTGGCATTCTGCAAAAACACAACCAGAAATGATTATGTCCTTGTAACGACCACCACCAGCCGAGGAGATTGGAGGAAGAAATCAATAGAATCAGCCATCACTCGTCAACTTTCAGGACTATTAAAGAAACACATTAAAAACCTCTGAGAACGATGGGACTAAAATAACACAGAGACAGCTAAGACGTTTAGGCAGAACACTGTGATGAGGAGATCCCATGGCCTGTATACAATCACCCACCGGCTAAGATCAGCCACAACTGGATAAGGACATTTGTCCCTTAACTCTAGCCGCCGCTGCTAAAGCTATTTTTAATCTAAAAGAAGAAGATCAGGTTCTCATGCTTTGATTCCAGTAGTTTTGCGGTTATGGTGAACAAATTTTGACGAGATTAACAAAGATGCCATTTAATGCATAGCAATCCGAGATAATTCCGTCAAGCTGGTGCAGTTATATTTGAAGAGATCAAACATCATTTATCGAATTATTTTCAGAAAGGGAAGAAGAACATCACAGCCCATTCACCATTGACTGAGATTCTTAGCCATATCCTGTAACGTTCTGAACCACCAATTGGAGCTATCTCCCTCGGACCCCAAACAGGGAATCGTGACGCACCAAACAATGCTAACCTACCACATGTACCCTTTATTCCACGACGCCCCTTCATCAGCTGATCACCTCTGCACTCTTTCCATCGTCCCCGGGCTAGCAAACAGAAACCTATGGGATGACATTCGCAGCACATGTCCAAGCCATCGAAGCCGGTGTTTTCAGATGACGACACTCAACAAATGGTGACCTCCACTATGTCCAAACACACACCACCTGATCACAGAATTACTCACGCGATGATGCCATTGAACATGAGTAATCCTACGGAGACAGTGATGATCGAATAAGCACAGTCACCACATATCCTCAGCTCACTCGGGCAGGCCAGGTTTCACAGGCAAAGAGGGCAAATCAATCGACGAGGCTATAAAGTTACATAGACTAAGATGGCTAGGTCACGTGCTGCGCATGCCTAACCACAGCCTCCCCGACGGGCATTGCTAGCTGATATAGGTGAAGGTTGGAAAAGAGCCAGTGGTGGCCAAACAAAAACATGGCCTCATCAATCCATGAAATCCTTGACAGTTAAACTGAGTCAGGTAGGGAGATGCAGACTCCCGGGTTGGGGCCCTCGGTACTCTAGGAATCAATGGCTGGAGATAATAGGTGACATGGCTCAAAATCGTTGTCAATGACTGGCGGAGATGTATTCAGTCTCTGTAATCCTTCATATTCCTCCTTTCTACCATTACCCATTCTGTTTCACTCTTATACTTGTCAGACTGTATTGATTCTCTTCACTCATCTTCTTGTCTACCTCTGTGTGCTATTTGGAAGGTGGCAACTCGAACTGCTGCACTTCGGTGCCAAGTTCTATGTTGAATCCAGACAGACAGACAGACAGGCATCGAGCAAGACAGCCCGCACCGAGGCATTGTAAACTTGACCTTTGACAGACAGGCTAATGTCATGATGGCGCCACAGGCGGTTCAAAAATTGAGGAAAGCAACCATAGCTTTCATGATACGGTTGAAAATCTCATTCATCACACTCCCGCCAGCACCCACACAACTACTCAGATAAATGAACTTATCGACGACTTTAAGAGGTTCACCAGCAAGAGTGAGTGCATGTACACACTCCTGCCAATCTTGTAACAGTACCTTGCACTTAGACGGCACAAAACACCTATCACACTTACAGACACTGATCGTCAACTGATTAATTGCGATTCGGACAGCCTTCGTGCTACCGTATTGTAAGATGATATCGTCTGAATTCTCCAGGTCGAAAAGTCTTTCTGCAGCGAGATCTACACCACCACCACGCACGTCCCTCACAGATGACTCTAGAATGTCAGAGATGGTAAAATTAAATGGAAGTGGGGAGATGGAACAACCCTGTCTAACCTCACTGTTGCATGCCCTCAATCTACCTAAGGTACTTCTGGATAGGAACTTTAGGATGTTCACAAACTTCTCAGGTAAACCCATCTCCAATAGACAGTTCCAGAGAACAGTTCTATCAAACAAATCGAAGGCAACCCTAATACCAAGAAACACAACAGTTGTTGGCCTGTAGTACCTGTGGGGGTGTTCCAACAACTGACGAAGGCTAAAAACATGATAAATACATCCACGGCCTGAACAAAACCCAGTCTTCTCTTCGCAAATCAACTCTCCACATGTTTTGCACAGGCTGCGAAGAAAGACAGCTACCAGCAATTTAGACGCAATTGGTAGGAAACTGATATACCCCCCTATGGTTGTCGCATGTGTTACTCTTACCCGCTTTAAAGATAGGAACGATAATGGCTTTATCCGACACTGATGGTACTTCCTCAATTTCTCAAACTTCACCTAACATCCTAGTACCTAAAGACTTGAACTCGGGAAAAACAAACATGTCTTCGTCACGAAAAAATGTTGATCACACTCCCCTTGTTAGGTTTGATATAGATATAGCCCATAGCCAGTCAAATCACTTAATCCGATATTGTGCAAACAGAAAGACATATACAACAGAAAAAGGAGACAAAATTGATACCATTTACAAAATAAATTGTATGAACTGTAACAGGCATTACATTGGTGGTCGAAGTGGGCGTCCCTTTCGAATTAAAATCCAAGAACACAAATCAGCCGTGAAAAGACACGATATATATTCTTTCATATCAATGCATACAGATAATTATGGACATCAGTTTGATAACTGGGATAATGTAGAAATTTTAAACAGAGGAAACACCGCCGAAAGTGTAATCAGGGAATTCCTAGAAGTCTGGTACTCAAACGAATATGCAATTAACAGACACGTTAACATAGACCAAGTAGACCAACTAATAAAAAGTAGATCATGTCACGAAAAAGTTTAAAATCCAAGTCAATAGAAAATGGTCAATGCGTATGTAAAGATGGTTACCGGGAGACGCACTTATACAACTCATGAAGAAATTTAAATGATTTCACTTTATGCTAAATATTGCGCTGAAGGTTTTGTCCAGAAGGACGACGAAAGCTCTGCAACTAAACCAACCAGCTCAGAGAACACTATTAATTACAAATCATCCACCTGAGCTACAATTCTCTATTATTTCCGGAGGTTCACTTTTTCACAAACTGTAGGGCGACCTACGTTTAGTCGTTTGAACTTGTTAAGTCATTGAAAAAAGCACTCCGATTTCTTAACATTTTAGAAAGTGTGGATCACTAGTGAACGATGAAATGGCATAAGGCTTCGACTATTGTTGACGAAGACAAAACTAGGAAACACAAGTGGTTTTCAACTCAGTGAATGGATGCTTACTTTATATCTTAACGAAAAATAGCATAAAACGTAATGAACAGAAAAATACTAAGAGCTCAGTATATTGTCTACGCACTTAAATGGTTTACACAGTGCAACCTTTGTGATATTTTATTTTAATAAAGTCGTATGACATGACACAACAACAATGTGTGTCAATGTGATTCAGCACACTTAGAAGATCCTTGAGCTTTCCTACCGCATTAATATCATCTGCACCCACCAGCTTACAATAATGCAGAGTTAAATCTCCCTAATTCTGAAATAACTCTAAAATTCTATAGTGAGTAAATTCTGAATCTGTTCTTGTGAATGGCACAGACTAGAACGCAGTGCTGGTTTTCAGCATGACTGGTATTAATTCAGAACTGTGTTCTTTTTCTAGGCATCTTTAGGAGTACATCAGAACCTACTGGGTTTGCTTAACAGTGTTCCAGCTCTCACAGGACATGGAGGTGGGGACCTCACTGTTGCATGCCCTCAATCTACCTAAGGTACTTCTGGATAGGAACTTTAGGATGTTCACAAACTTCTCAGGTAAACCCATCTCCAATAGACAGTTCCAGAGAACAGTTCTATCAAACAAATCGAAGGTAACCCTAATACCAAGAAACACAACGGTTGTTGGCTTGTAGTACGTGTGGCGGTGTTCCAACAACTGACGATGGCCGAAAACATGATAAGGACGGACTAGTGTTAATTCAGTACCCAGCTCTCTTTTTAAGCAAGAAAGGCGTTATTTCGGAGCATAGTGGGCAGGTAAAATCTTCATTTGCCATCAAAAGGCATTATCGAATAAGTTTAGCATTGTTGTAAGCTAGGGCACATGTGCCCAAGCTTACAAAAATCCTAAACTTATTCTAACTTATGCGTTGATAATGCCTTTTTGGTAAATGAATTGCCACTATGTGCTGAATTTAGTCTTTTCGTTCTAAATTTATGCGAGCCAGTGCTGAAAATGTTCTGAGAGGGCTGAAATAAAGCTGATAAGCAAACCCGGTAGGTTCTGATCTACTCCTAATAATGCTTAAAAGAAGAACACGGTTCTGAATTAGCGCTAGTTATGCTGAAAACTAGCACTGAGTTCTAGTCTGTGCCATTAAACAAACGATTTCAGAACAAATTCAGGATTTACTCACTATAGGATGCTAGAATTATTTCAGAATTACTGAGATTTTATTCAGAATTATTACAAGCTGAACTGCAGTTCAGTATGGCTTAATGATTTTATATTAGAGAAGGCAGCTAAAGGCTTTTTGACTTAGAGCTAGCAATAAAGCATCCCACAGTCACTACTAATGTAATATTTCAAAAACACACGTAGTGAATGCAAGAAATCATGTTACTCACCTCAAGTTTTTCAAAATACTCGCGAAGGAATGCTACAGGATTACTAGGGCGATATAAGCATAAGTTAACCACACAATCCCTGAGTAGTTTCTGTACATTATGCTGCTTCACATAATCTTCTGCATCACTTAGAAGTGAATCATCCTCCATGACTGCAGGAGTTGTGAATGCATCTGATATTTTCAAAAAACCCGCGCTTGGGTTCCGCGTTTCAATTTCCAATATCCAATATTGTTTCTATGAGCCAGTGTAAACCAGTTTTATTTCTTGGTGCTCACTTCTTGATTGTGAGGTGAAGGCTCCTGATATTCGGTAAACTTTTGCGTATTTCGTCCCATCAGTCTATCTTCGTGGCTCTGGTCAACCCGAAAGGTGTGTTGCTGGGATCAAATATATGTTTTTTTGTAGTATGCGGCGTCTTAAGACTTTGCTACTACTGTGATTGGAGTTGATCCTTTCACCAGTTAGTCCTCCGGTATTGTCGCCGTAATAAAGTGATCGTGATAATAATAGACATAAAAAGTGTCGGTTTTTCAGACTAAAAGACAGAAAAAGTAATAAAGAAAACTTAAAAGTAGACAGCCAATTAAATATGAAGTTGAAATATATACATATATAAATGTATGTGCGTATAATATCAGTAATTATAATAATAAATGTAGTAGTTGGAGTAGTCAGGAGAGTAATTTAGGAGAGAATGTGAAGTGAAACGACGAATTTAGATGTCTACTCAGAAATGTTATATGGGATTTTGAGGGGATAGGCCATTTGGACGCCGTCATTGTGTTGCTGCATGATTGTCCAAGATTCGTTTAAAGCCTTCCAGAGACGGTTCCTTAACTTTATCTGCCGGTAAGAAGCTCCAGAGACGGCTATCGTGCAGTGAATAGAGGTGTGGGCGCACCCGAGTTCTTAACGTTTGGTGAGCTATCCTTGGGCGATTTCCACGAGGAAGCCCATAAATACTTCATAATGGAACACCTTTGTTTTGGTGTTGTGGTCATTTGTTATCCTTAAGTCATTAAGTGAGTTCCCCCTAAGCTGACAGTAGCTAAGTATGAGGAGACCTAATTTCCTTCGCCGTTCATCATATGGTTTGTTTCGAAGACCAACCACTCCTATTTGTCACCCGTTCTTCTACACTCCAAGAGATATGTGTCTCTTCTGAGTAGTGCAACCATATTATGCACTTCAAGGTGGGGTTTGATGTATGTTTTGCACATTCTTAGAAAGAGCTCATGGGTGAGTGCACTTGACTGTCTGTGTGTAAAGTGTATGACCACATATGCCCTCGCTGCATTGCCGTGTAATTTACGCTTTTGTCCATTTTTTCAGCAGAACTGGACCTAAGTCACGCTGCAACGTTGTCAAGGACAGGCCTCGTTGTACACTCTGTAAGTGCATTTTGCAGCCCACAGGTGAGTAATTTCACCACTTTGCACTTTTCAGGTTGAAAGTCAAACCACCGGCCACAATCCATTCTTCCAGAATCTTCAGAGTGAAGAAGAGTAGAGCAGCTTAGACGGGTCGGTAGTTCATTGATGAAAATCAAAGCATACAATGGCCCCGGGATAGAGCCATGTCACCCACTTGATGAAGGGCTGTGTCAAGATGAGTGACTCGATTGATTTACAGTACAGACTTTCGTTTCACCTAGGTGGTCTGTTAATTCAGTTGAAGATTGAATGATCAATTCTTCTTCCACTTCCTCGACGTCCATCTGAAAAGAAACGCCGACGACTCTCTGAAAAGGTTCATTTACAAAAAGCCTACATGGAAAAGACAATTCATCAACTTTCAAAGCTTCGTGCCCCTGAGTAGAAAGAGGAACCGGATATACGCTCTTTCCTCGAGGATTAGGAAGACATTCAGCGAGGAAGTGGTTGAAGAAGAACTGCGTAATCTTCGAAAAACCCTGATGGAAAACGGTTTCCCGCTCAGATTCATAGGCAAGAATCTCAAATGTAAGATGACTTCCGAACAAGTCCAATCCATTCCAGAGAAAATACTTCTGCTTAATCTAGAATTCAAAGGTGATATTGAAGCAGAAATCCTTCGTAAACGCCTCTCCAAATCGCTAAAGAAAACATACTTCTCCGCGAGCCTACGACTAACGTTTTCCTGTAAGAATCTGTTCAGCCAGAACGTGAAAGACAAGCTGTCGCATAGGGCCACTTCAACGTGCATATACCAGTTTACTTGCTCTTGCGGAGCTGAGTACATCGGCCGTATCATATGCCGACTTCAAAAACGCGCTCGCGAACACTATCCAGGCTGGCTAGTAAAAAGCAGAACGAAAACGTGCATATATATATGTATATATATAAAACATCTGGTCAGTTCAGTGCCATTCGAAAAATCCTTCAAAATAAAATACAAGATTCTTTCAAACGGAGTAAAATTGAGACATTTAGGCATAGCCGAGGCACTAGCCATCCAAAAGCTCAAACCCACGCTATGTATCCAAGAGAAATACGTCCAACTCCTGTCCCTGCCATGGCCATCATAAACAGGTAATTCCTTTAGTAATGACCATCCTATCGCCTTTCTTATCTAAACTTCCTGTTTATTCATGTTATTTTAAGTTTTTCTTAATCCCTGTTTACACTACCATATTTTCTTATCCGAACTTCCTGTCTATTTTGTCATTTTACTATTTCTACATATTTAATCCCTGATTGCATAAACAATTATTCATCACATTAGTTCTTATCCAAACATCCTGTCTACTTTTGTTATTTCTACATTTCTAACTCCTGATTGCACAATGTCAATCTTCTTAGTTATTATGATGCTACTTTGTTTGTTTTATCCATCCCCCTGTTTATTATGGCATTCTAATTCCTAATTTTAATTAATTTGACCCTTGACGGGATATCATTCTGGAACTTTCCTATCCATTTGACATAAATACACGAATGAGCAGCCTAGATGATGACTTCGTCGAAAAGAAAATTTTCTTCGCTGCAGTTGTCTTCTTAATTTGTAAATAGTTGGCTTTAATAATAATAATAATTCCATGTGATTTGCCGTCCCTCGTTTGCTTTACTTAAGTGAAGCGACTGGTTTCTCGTGGTGTATGTGTTACTAAGACAGATTTAGAGCGAAACGTTGTTTCAATAAATCCTTCTTCTTCAGCCTCTACATTCATAGATCTATTAATTTAAGTATACTATAGCCTGCCAGCCAGTGAAGGTAAGCTAGAATAATATCCCAAAGGTATTGTGGAACAAGTATACGATGGAATGGAACATTAGGCAGTCAGTTATGAAAATGCACGGTCCATATGAAGATCATTATTATTGTATTATTGGTCCTTTGTGTTCCTAGTAGAACATCGAGCTTCAGCTGCACGTCTCCACTTGCTTCTGTCTTCTGCTTTACTTTTCACCTGAATCCATGTTAGTCCATACTCTTTCAACTCCTCTTCACTCGATCTCCTCCATGTCACCCTTGCACTGACGTCCCACCCGCCGCTTGCCTCCCTTTCGCGTTCCACTCGAGGGCTTGACGCGCGGTGTCACCCAAGCGGTCTCCTCAGTGAGTATCCAATCCATCTCCATCACTGTCTCCTGCATATTTGTTGTTGTTGGGCGATTGGTTCTTGTTTTGTTTGTTTGTTTGTTCCCATAGTTTCTTGTTGGTGATTGTTTCCGGCTCGGTCCGGCCATCTGATCTTCACTATAGAGCCAGTGAAGACAGTTGTTGATAAAGGTTACGTCTGCAACAAGCTGTTGGAAATATTCTTTGTGACCCGCCCGCCCGCCAAGTTTCTGATCCGTATAGAAGAACTGACTGACTTGACGTGGCTTGTATTGAAAATCCGACGGAATTTTGTTGTTGATTCTGGCTATGTGACGAAGATTTCCAGATTGGTTGTTTCAGGTTGATGAATGTGTTACTCGCCCCCCACCCGATTCTCGCTCGATTTGACATCCTCGTCCGTTCCGACTGCTTGTAGTTGAGACAATGCTCCCTCCCTAGATCAGTGAGTGAATGAAGTAACCTCTTTCAAATCCCTCCCGTTGATGGTGATTGACGCTGGATTTTGCTGCTGTTGTTGTTGTTGTTGGGCGGTTATTTTCATCACCTCCGTCTTGTCTATGTTCACTTGGAGTCCTGTCTTCGCCGACTGTTTCCTCGACCAGTTTGTCGGTTTTCGCTTGCCTCTAAGTCTTCGATTTTGTGACAGTGACATCAAACATAAATCATCGCTGCGCGAAATCCGGGTCTTCTAGGTTCTTCACGTCGGTCAGTCCAGGATATCCCTGTTTTCTCATTTCCCACTGTCTGACGCATAATCCAGTCAGTCCACCACAATTAGGAATATCATTCATTGGTGATAATAAGCAAGCACCCTTGTCTGACTCTTGTGTTTCCTAGAAACGCCTCGCTGAATTTTCAGTCGTGGATCACTTGACATGTGCCGTTGTGGTACAGCTGTTGAATAAGGTTGATGAATATTTGGGCGCTGCACGCCGTAGTACTCGAGTAGCTTCCAAATTACTTCACTGTCAATGCTGTCAAAGGCCTTTTCGAAGTCTATAAAGTTGAGGTATATGTTTGATTGCCATTGCATGCTTTGTTCTGTGATGATGATGCGTAGAGTTGCAATTTGGTCAGAAGCTTGATTGCATTCAAGACTTCAGCTTTCGTTGGAGGATTGGTGTCAACTTGCAGTTGCGTACGCGCTGAACAAACTTGTTAAAGCTGCTTTTTTGTCAATCTCGTGCCCTGTGTCTACTAGGCGTACCAGTATGGAACTTCTGATTGGTTGACTGTACGACTCCTCTAATTGACCGCGTTTGACAATCCTCTAGAAGTCAATATTTCAAGTGAACAATGCTTTGGAAAGAACACCCACAATTTTTCGTACTGTTCTATTCATTGACTTTTCGAGTAAAACGTAAGGCTTCAAAGAACAGCGGCTGGATTTTGGGAGCAGTGGTTTTACTTAAAGAGAGGGCAGTTGCTGGCATTCAGAGAACCTCCCCACTTCAACAGCCCTACTACAGGTTTGGCGAGGTCTATGAGAGCGTCCGTGGTGTATCAAACCCCAGATAACATGAGGCGTGTTCAGTGAGCATTCTATCATTGAACTCACACTGATTACCTTTTATCAACCAAAGGTGCCTCCAGTCAACTTCAGTGATTTACGAACACCTGTTAAGGAGCCCACTAGAACTCTGGTTGATTTGTGTAGAACTTGATGAATATACAG